TAGGGGAAGAACACAGAGAACTAGCTCAGGGTGGGTCTTAGGATCCACACAGCGAGGCTTGGCTCTAGATGGTAAGCCCTCAGCTCTGAATCATCTGGAATGCAATTTCAAGCCTATCTTACACCTGTTGACTTAGCTCACAGCTGGCAGCTGTAATCTGTCATGTTACCCAGGTGCTGGTTGAGCACATTGAAGTTTAAGAACCATTGCTGCAGAATAAGTAAAAATGTTTTTATTTTAATTTATTTTTATTTTATGTGCATGAGTGTTTTGCCTGAATGAATGTAAGTGCACATGTATGCAATGTCCATAGAGGCCAGAAAAGGGTGTTGGATTCGCTGGAACTGGAGTTACAGATTGTTGCTGGCTGCCATGCAGGTGCTGAACTGAACCCCAGTTCTCTGCAAGAGCAGCCAGTGCTCTTAACCTCTGAGCTATCTCTCCAGCTGCTCTTTTTGGGGGTGGGGGAAGGTCACTGTGGCTCTTGATATGGCTCAGTGATTAAGAGTACACACTGCTTTTGCAGAGTACTAGAACTTGGTTTCCAGCACCCATGCAGGGTAGATCACAACTGCCTATAACTCCAGCTCCCAGGGCCCAATGCCTCTGGCCTCCCAGGGTGCACTTACCCAAACATAGGCACACACACATACACATAATTAAAAATAAAATAAAACTTTAAATGCTGAGTGAGATAGTGCATGTCTTAATCCCAACACTCAGGAGGGAAGCAGAGGTAAGTGGATCTCTGTAAGTTCCAGGCCAGTATGGTCTACAAGGCGAGTTCCAGACTAGCCAGAGCTACATAGTGAGACCCTGTCTCAAAACAATAAAACAAACCCCAAATCTATAGTCGCTGTGCTTGCATTCAGCCTCCAAAACTTACACATCTTGTGACTGAAAGTTTGGACCCTATGACCAACATCTCATTCCACCAGGCCCAATCTCAGGACACCACTATCCTACTCCCTATTTCTAAGAGCTCACAGACTTCGGATTCCATCTGAATGAGATCATGCAGTATCTTTGCTTCTGTGTCCGGCTTATTTCACTTAGCAGAATGTCCTCTAGGTTCATATATGTTTCAAAAGTCAAGATTTCCTGGTCAAGTCACATTAAAAAACGTTTTACTCATTATTTTTATTTTGTGTGTATTAGTGTATTGCCTGCATGTGTGTAAGTGCACCCATGTCATGCAATGCCCGAGGAGGTCAGAAGGTGTCAGGTCCTCCTGAAATGGAAGTTAGGATGGTTATCTGCTGTGTGGGTGCTGGGAATCAAACCCAGGCCCTCTGTAAGAGTAGCCAGTGCTCTTAACTGCTAAGTTATCTCTCCAGCCCCTCAAATCACATTTTTAAAACACAGGAGTGATATGAAGCAAGGGTCTTTCAGCTAGGGTGACAGCTTCAGGTGAAAAGATCAGGGGAGGCTGGAGGCAGTGGGGGTTGGCTGTGCAACTGTGACACAAGGCAAGAAGGATGGGCATTCATTAGAGTCTGTGCTAGAGTTAGAAATCAATGACCCTAACCACGACCATAAAAAGGAGCATTTAGCGACTCGGTGGAGGGGAGGATTTAGAGTCCAGAAAGGGTTTGGAGATATACTGACAGAACAGAGAAGAAATGAGAATGGCCAGTTTGGAATACGTTAGGTGATGGTGAGGTCTTAAATAGATGCTTACAGGAAGTAGTAGCTTTCTTTTGACAGCTCCAAGCTTGAAAACCAGGTCTGAGTTGGAACAATAGAACATTTTTTTGGAACACCTTCAAATAAAGTTCCTTTGTTTTCTTACCCCTTTCCATTGTAAAACATATGCTATTTCAGACACAAAGAAGTAAACCGGCCGATGCTAACCACTCAGCTAACTGAAAATGGGAATGTTTTACATTTCTGCTCCGTCTTGCCTGTAATAAAAAGGAAAAGCTGTGCCAGCAGTTTATTTCAAAGATTAAAATGCATAGGGCAGTTGATCAAGTGTTGTAGGTCGATTGTTTTGTTCTTTCTAGGCAGGGTGTAAAGTCCTTAAGGGATGGGCAAGGTGTTTGGAAACTCATTTATGTTCCCTAGTGAGGTACTTCTTCATAAATGCTTAGTCGTTCAATTGAATCTTAAAATGATCCTTAGAGATATGTGACCATAAACCACTGTCCTCTACTCTGAAGTTAGCCCTGTTTTCAAAAAGTTGTGCTGGTTCAATTCTCAACTGTGATACAGTCCTTTGAGAGACTAATTAAGATACCAGGCTAATGTTAGAATTGTTGTCTGAAAATTAAAAGTTAAAGTACACCCCAGATCCCAGATATGGTTAGCCCAATGGGAGATTGCCCAGTGTTAGTTATGCCCTTAACCAGAACTGTTTATTCTCAATTGCTGTCTTGGTTGGAAGCAGAATTACAAAGGGTAGGTCTGGAGACCTTAGTTGTTCTTAGAAGCTATAATTGCTTTTATGAAAGTATACATGTTTTTCAAAAAAGTTTTTGGTTTTGAATATTTAATTTTTGGTATGACCCAACTTTTAGCAAAAAAGAAACACTATGACAGCCATGTAGCTTGTATACTAATTAAAGTGTTTTATTGATCTCTATATAAGCAAAAAGATGTCATGTTCTTAGGTCATAAGTTCTCTGCTGCATTTTCAAACTTGAGACTGTAACATACTCATGAAAGGTTTATGTACATTTCCACTGCTTGATATTTAGCAATGGATATTTTCATGTGGTATTGATATTACGAGGGCCCTTTTTACTATAAAGAATGTTGTTTGCTGGGTGTGGTGGCACACGCGTTTAATCCCAGCACTCGGGAGGCAGAGGCAGGTGGATCTCTGTGAGTTCAAGGCCAGCCTGGTGTACATGGTGAGTTCCAGGGCAGCTAGGGCTAAAAAGACAAAGAAAAAAAAGAAAACAAACAAACAAACAAACAAAGAATGTTGTTCAAGGGATTTATTATTATTGTTATTAAATGTTTGTTGGATCTAAATGAATACCTCTGTCTCTTTTCTGAATTTAAATTTAAATTGATATTATAAAAATCACATTATTTAGGGCCTGAAGAGATGATTCAGCAGATAAGAGTATTGACTACTCTTGCAGAGGACCCAGGTTTGGTTCCCAGCACCCACACGGTGGCTAACAACCATCTGTAACTCCAGTTCCAAGGGGTTCCAATAGCTTCTTCTGACCTCTGTAGGCATTGCATGACATGGATGCACCTGTCTAAATGGAGGCAATACACTCATACACATTAAATAAAAAGTAAAATAAAATCACATTATTTAGAATGTTTACATTTTATTTCTGTTCTATGACATTTGTCACTTAATGAATTAATTATACTTTTTTTTTGGTCTTTTTGAGACAGGGTCTCCTTGTAGCCCCAGCTGACCTGGAACTCATTATATAAATCAGGCTGGCCTTGAACTCACAGATCTGCCTGCCTCTGCCTTCCAAATGCTGGGATTAAAGGCATGCACCACCACACCCAGATAATTATACTTTTTAAAAAGTATTTATTAATTATTTTTATTTTATATGTATTGCTGGTAAGTATTTAAATGCACCCGTGTTATGCAATGCCCGAGGAGGTCAGAAGAGAGTATCAGATCCCCTTGGAACTGGAGTTATGGATGGTTGTTAGCCACCATGTGGGTGCTGGGAATCAAACCCAGGTCCTCTGCAAGAGCAGCTATGCTCTTAACTGCTGAGCTATCTCTCCAGCCCCTTAATTACATTTCTTATACATATTTTATGACTCTAATATAAACAAATTCAAAGCAGATTCAAGTGAATTTTCTTCCAAACACTTTTCTTGAAATTTTGGATTGCATCACACATCCAAAGAACAGATAAAAATATTTTTTCATTCAGGTGACACATACTTCTTGAATATACTGGACATGGGCTGTGTCCCAGACTCTTCTAAATGTCAGTGGTAGAGCATAAAACAATTATGGTGACAAATACAACTTGTACTAGTGCTGGAGGTGCGATGGTATGTGACTGAAATCCCAGAACTGAGGAGGTGGAGGGACAAGGACAGAAAGTTTGAGTCCAGCCTAGGATACATAGGAAGACCCCTCTCCCCCAAAGAACAAACTGTGCTTCATCTATATTATAAATGTCAATAACAGTAATATTTGCCCTAGCTACATTTCTTGTTGCTATAACAAAATACTGACAAAGCCAGCTTAAGGAAGGAAGGAAGGGTTTATTTTAGCTCACAGTCTGAAGTACACCCCATGATGGTGGGAAAGTTGTGGTGGCAGGAGCTTGAGGTGGTTGGTCACATTGTATGTGCAGTCAGGAAGCAGAGAGTAATGAATGCTGGTGCTCAGCTCACCTTCTCCTTTTCATGCAGCTCAGAACCCCAGCCCAGGAGATGGTGCCTCCCACATTTAGGGTGGGTCTTCCCTTGAAGAGTTTAGCCTAATCTAGATATCCCTCAAAGGCATGCCCAGAGACCTGTCTCCTAGGTGATTCTAGATTTCCATCGAGTTGACAGTTGAAATTAACCATCACAATATTTATCCTCAAAACAGTGATCTTAGTTCAAGTAACAATGAATTGATAAAAACTCAGATTATTTCTGTAAGCAGAGGCCACAGAAAAAATTCTGTATTGGAACTGAATTTAAGAACTCATTCCTGTTACTTAAAAATAAAAATACAAATGTCCTATATTTTCCCATGGGATTTGGCTTTCTTGGAAGTTCACATCACCAGCAGACTCGTCATTTGTTTACTTAATGCCTGATTTGACCCATGGGAGGTAAGAGGCCTGCAATGTTGTATGAGTTGTTAAGTGTATAAGCCTGGTGACTAATTGCATATGTTTTATAATTCACATCTTTACAAATGGTTCATTATTTTTAAAATTCTACATTCTGTAATGACATGACTTGTTTCCTTCTTCACCTTTTCCCACATATTTATAAAATGGTTCATTATTTTAAAAATTCTACATCCTTTAGTGACATGGCTTTTTTTCTTCACCTTTTCCCAGGTTTTAGGCAAGAAGCCAGCTCTTCCAGATGGAGACAATGATGAGGACACCATTGCAGATATTAACAACCGGAAGATGGCGAAGCTCTACATGGTGAGTCTGCTGGCTGGTGTTTTGTGGTCCCACCACCGCCGGTTGTGGTCCTGAGCCTGGACTGGACAGATTTCCATTACTATAGTAGACACTCCTTTTGCCCTCATAGAAAAATGTGTAGGTAGTTCTTCATTCTTGTATGTGTTAAAATGACCATTTCTATAGCTTTTTGGTTATTTTCATTAAAAATAACAAAGTTACTGCTGCAACTTATATAATATTATATATATTACCCTATTGGTTTATTTTGATATATTACAGTCAATAAACTGTTTCCTTTATAGAATAAAACAATTTTTATATAAATTCTTGATAAGGTTGTAAAATCTTTATCTCCTTTATAACAACCTTTTAGTCATAATAAAAGATATCTTTGTTCCTGGAGGGTGAGTCAGCTGGAAAGAAACAGTGGAATCGGCTCTGTACTGGGCCTGGCTGATCCAGTGCCATGTCAATTCTGTGCTGAATGACTGTGCAGGACATAACTATCTGAGTCTCATTTTTCTAATCTGAAAGGGAGGGAGAAGGAGGAGAGAGTGGATAAGGAAGAGGAGGGAAGAAAAGTGATTATATCAGATGATTATTCAGGTTTATTCCAGCTATATAATTTTGATTTTATTACTGGTAAGAGTAATAAAGCCACAGATACGGCATTGATGGAGATTGCTACAAGATTCTTCAAGTGTCCCCTCCCATTACAACTTCCTAAACACGTGATTTGGAACAGGTGGTAATCTCCCTACTTAATTTAGTAGTTTTCTCATCTGTAAGAAGAAGAAACTATAACGTGCTCTTTGAGGGATTTCTAGCTCACAGATTCCATAGTTTTTTTTTTT